ACCTGGCTAATGGGTGGAATGGAGGCAACTGGTCAACATGTGCCAAGAAGAAGAAACTCTGAGCAGCCCTTTCCTTAGCATTGCATAATAATATAAAGTAAATTTGAGATATGTGGTGTGGTCCTGCTTTTAGCAACTTAAATATAGATAGGGGAGATGGAAAACAGAAAACAAAGAAAACAATTTTGAGACAGTAACCTATTTGCAATTTAATGAAACTAAATTTCAGAGATATTCCATGAAGGAAGAGAGGACTGGAGTATTTAGGTATAGCTCCAATGAGTCAGTGGAATATAAAAAGAATCCTTAGGTTTAAGACCCCGCGGTCTTATCTATTTTTAGTTACATAAAATTTTCATGGAGGGACAATCTTATCCACAAAGTGGGTTATTAGAGACATGCCCTGTGGTTTGAGTGGTGTCCACCAGCTCCCTTTATCTTCTCAAATGCCTCAGAACCTCACTCACATCCACCTCGTTGCCTGAGATTAGTGCGTTATCCCTGTGAGTTAAGGGATGGCCATCACAAGATGCCCTTTCAAAAAAGAAGATAGCCCCAAAAGGTTAAACATCCCAAACATGATCTGCCTGGATGATTCTGCTGAGTGAAGCTGCTCTCACCTCTTCTCTGGAGAACCAGAGCCTGTGTTCACCTGAGGCTGATATGCTGGCTTTGCTGAGGGACTCAGAAAAAAAAGGCAGGAAGAAACCACTTTTATTTTGTTTTGTACTTCTGTAAATGATGGATATCTCAATCAGTTTTTAACATAGATGACTTCAAAAAAATATGATAAATGCTGTGGATCATCTTCTCAGATAAATGTACAAAACCTAAAACATTACAAATATACAATTAATTCATGGAGCTTATAGATTCCTGAAGCCTGTTTAGAGAGCCTAGAGATCACTAAACAAATAAAGTATTTTTAGTGTCTGCGGCGCTGGGGAAACTGGTGTTCACCTTCCTTTTCTTCTATGTGTAGTTAGTTCATCCACTCAACTTCCGTGCTCATCTCTTCCTCTTCCCCACACCATTTGTAGGTGGACAGAGCCATTAAAATAATGACTAAGGATCCTTGCATAGGAAAAAAGAAGGCTGTGTGCTTCTACCTCCAATTTGTTTCCATGTTCTAGAACTATGTAGTGAAGAGCAAGGGTTAGCCAAAGGAAGCTAGGGAATGGGGAGTGGGGAGTGGTGGAGGGGAAGGTGGTTGATGGACTGGTCTTGTACAGGTGATGTGATATGGACTGCTCTGCCATACTTGTTACTGCTCTGTCCAGTGGAAACTCAGTTTAACATATCAAGGAAAATCAGACCACGGGGCATAGCGATCACAGAGTTCTCTCTTTTAGAGATTCTGGGTCAGGACATACAGAAATAAAAAAGATAGACATCCTTACTAAGGACTTCACATGGCAAAAACTTGGAATATTTTAAACTTGTTTTCAGGGTCTTTGACTTCTCAGGCACAAGGTTCCAATGCTGCAGTGGGGAGGAGGAGGATCAGGGTGCAGGCCTGAGCTCTCCTGGTTTCCTGTTTGAGAACAAAAAATGTAAAGAATTCCTCGACCCAAAGTAATTTGGGACTCCCCGCTACCCCTGCCAAGGGAGTTTGTATTGCTGAGATGGGGGCACACTTAGCTTTATTTTGTCTCTATAACTTAATCTTGTCTATATCTCATAAACTCAAGAGAGTATTATTCACCTTCCCCTTTCTCTGCATAGCTCACTCTGAGGTACCATAAAATTCTACCACTTTCTTTAGTCAGGTTTATTCATTCCTGTTACATCAGCTCAATGGAAGCAAGATTCATTTCATTTCTAGGTATTCTTGGTGATATATAGACAGCAATCCCGTCACAACTGTTCAGGCATTAGGTCTTGTAGTAAGTATTTGTGATATTAAGTAATAGTTTTCTATTCATTCCTACTTGTTCCTACAAAGTGTAGGGATTAAGTGCACAAAGTCAAGCGAGGCTGCTGGATCCCAAATCCCTCTCCCTAATGTTGCTTTGCTATCTTGGGCAAAGGGCTAAACTTCTCTATGCCCATTTCTTCATTTAAAAATGCAGATAAGAACAGTACTCCCCTCATAAGGCTGGTGATTTGATACGTATGTATAACATGCTTAGAACAGAACTTGGCACATGGTAAGTGCTCAATAAATCTTAGCTATAGCTATTAGTCTGTTTGCAGAGAGTGCTGTTTTTTCAGCACCTGCAATATGTGAATCAATCACTGGTAAAATTACCATTGATAACTTTCCACTCGGAAGTCATTAAAATGAAATACAAACTCCCACGGCCCACGGGGAATGCGTTCTTCTGAACCTCTGAGCCCTGAGAAGGTGTGTTGGTGGAGGCACAGCATCATTATTCTTCCCTCCTCATGTGCCGGGAAAACCTCCAAAACAGAGCACTGTATTCATTGGGTGTTTCCCATTTGCCAGTAAGAGACCATATCAGCAGGGTAAAGGGGGCGAAGGTAAGAAGACAGCACAGGCAATAATCTGATCTCAGTTGTGCCAGCAGCCATGTAGGTGGAGCAAGTTTCACAGAGACCTGGGGTCCAGCAGACATTTAGGGCACAACTTGGAATCCAGAGACTCCTTCTCTCTCTGTGCACCAGCAAGAACATGGCTTAGGAAAGAGGGTCTATTTGGGTTCATTGGTTTCCAACCAATACACTCCTGTGGGGAGAACTTTTCACCATGCCAGCACAGAGACAGTTAGACTCCTGCATGTCAGACTCATACACAGATGCATTTGGACCCCAGGAGCAGATTCTGGGAAGAGATCATGAAAGCCTGGATTCCATCTGATACCTGTGTAAGCTTTATAGACTATGAATTTTGAGGTCTGAGTTACCTACTTTCTGTCAAGATTCTAGCTAAGTCTCTTCACATACAATAGTTAGCTTGAAAGTGTTGTGCTACATAAAGAACGGCAAAAGAACAGTAGAACCATTCCAATAATGAGCCCCTCTTCCCTACCTGTCTACCATATTATCAGCTCTTGCTACAGCCCTGCCTGGTGGCAATTGTTGTGTAATCCAAGGGGACAAAAATCAATGGAGAGGAGGAGGCTCAGATGCAAGAGTAGGGTCCCAAGGCGGCATAAGACAAGAATATTATTAGCTTTAGCAAGGAAGAGGGTATCAATTCAAATGAAATCCAACGAGCAGAGAAGAGAGGAGAAATTTTGAGATAGAGGGGAGAAAAGTTGAAGGTGTGGAGGTGAACACAGTATCAGCATATCTCCTTTACAAGAGATAACGAGATCATCTGCTAAGGAGAAAGGCAGGTTTGGGATGCAATTTCAAGGATAACTGAACGATTTGGAGGATTTCCTTGCCCCTTATATCTTTCCAATCCTAGATAGCATCACCAAATTAACCATTGTTATCCTTATTTTGCTCCAAAACTGTTTATAGTCCCCCAGTGCCTAACTCTTAGGGTTCAAACATCCTACGCTAAGATTGAGGCACTCCACCAGCTGGGACCTATCCTTCTTTCCCAGACTTGGTTCCCACAACTCTCCATTCTAGCTAAGCTCACTGACTGTCCCTCATATATTTCCCATCCTTTATCATCTCTCTACTTTGGTCCCTGCTGCTCCTTTCATTTTGAGTGTCCTTCCCGCACAGTCCACTCTTGCTGTTTTATTTCTCCTTGAAGGCTCAACTCTCACGTCCACCAGGATGCATTCTCTGAGTCTCAGTACTAGAAACAACCTCCCTCTCTTCTGCACGTCCACAGAACTTTGTTCATACTTCTCTTATGATATTTTCTGCAGTATTCCTTACACTGTGGTTATTTCTATACTCTCTTCATCTTCTTATTATATTATAAATATAACGGCAGGATTTGTGCCTTATTCACCTTTGTACTCCACATACTATAAAATCCAATGCGAAATACACTTAGCTAAAGGAAATGCTCTATTAATATTTGTTGAAATTAATGCTAGGAAAAATAAAGTCATAATAGACAGGATGTTTGGAAGTTTCCTATGAATCGGCACAAATAGGTTCTTATGGATATATTATTTTTTGCATTCCTGGAACAAAATGTTCTAAATACATAATATATACTTCATTCATTCTTCAATATAAATGTATTGAATACCTACCAAATGCAAGGCATGTGCATGAAACAGATGGCACTGGTTCTGGGTATATGCAACATATGCATTCATTTCTCATTTCTCATTTTGTTTCCCTTCTTTTTAGACAAAAGGGAGTGAAGATGCGCCCCATTACCACTGTTAGCCTAGAACAATGTGTAATAAGAAGGAACTTCATTTAAGTTGTGACCTATGGGGTCAGAATAAGCCTTGTAATACAGAACCAAATTAGCTGCAATGTTAACATCAAAAACAAAATATTGGCTTTTTAGACATTCATCCTTGTGTTTACTTAGAAATTTTGCTTTATAAAGTATCAATTACACCCCCCCCCCATTTTCTCTCTTGCCTGTATTTATTTTTCTGACTTTCATTCAATGAGGAGCTTCAAGTCCACTTTTAGAATATTGAAATAAACTGATGAAAATTGAAAACCAATATTTTCCTTCTAATAGTTTGAACAAAAAAAGTAAAAAGCCTCAAAATTTGTAATTATAACTGATAATATAATGGGGAAATATAATGGGAAAACAAATTTGCACACTTAAAAAGTAGGTTGGTTTGGGGTCCATCTGTTTTTAAATAACCAGGCAATTTTTCTTTTCCTTTTCAAGATGCTGTATATAAATACACTTAAAAATGTTGTTTCAAGATATTAGTGCATCTGAACTTGATGCTAAAGGATTAGATGCCCACTTCCTTTCCTGCCAGGGCCTCTCTCCATGTACCGGGGTTGGGGGATACACAGGCCTGCCTCTGGATTCCTAAGATCCCATCATTTCTCTGCACAAGTCTTTGAGGTCGAATCTATGTGTGGCTCCTTCAGCGAGGACCTTCCTGGACCTTTGCAACGCTGTCTGATGCAGTTTCATTTCTTTCATAGCCTGGCGCTTGGCAGGCTCCCTCTCCCTTCCTCTCCTTCCCTATCTCCGTCTCTTTTCTCCCACGGCTCATCTGGCCCTCCTTTTCTCCATCCCCCTTTCCTTTCTGCTCCCCTTTATTTCTACTCCCCACCCGCGTAGCTTTGCTCTCACTCCCTCTCCCCCTACGGCTTGTCTGTATTTGGAGCTTCCGGAAGCCGCCAGCGACTCTCCCCTGGAGCAGCGTGACTGACACCGACTCTCTTTTGGGGGAAGGAAGGAGGGCAGGCAGGAGGAGGGTGCGAGTGGCCGAACACGGATTTGCATCGCCGAGAACAAAACCCCAAGACATCCAAGCAGGTAATCCTGGAGCCGCTGGGCCGGGCAAGGGAGGGGACGCCCGGGGGTGCAGGTGTGGGGGGCGCCGGTGGCCGGCGCTCGGAAGTTGTGCGGAATGGGTGGGGTGCAGAGGGGCCGGGACGCGGCTGCGGCGCGCGAGGAAGAAAGGCGGTGCGGACGTCTGTGGGGACTGGACACCCGGGACCTGGGGCGGGGACGCGAGCGGGGGCCGGGGCGTGATGCCTGGGGCGTGGGGGCGCAGGCGGGGGCGGCCGCCCCATCTGGGTCAGCGCAGCCGCGCTCCCTGCCCCCGCCGGCAGCCCGGGCTCAGGGTGCCTGGGGCCGCTCGGAAGGGGCTTGCGGCTGGACAGGCGGCGGCGGCCTTGCGCTCCAGGCTCCGCTAACTTTGCGGTTGCTCGTCCGCTCGGTTCTGAGCCTCACGGGGGTGCGGGGGTGCAGGGCTGGGGGGCTGTTATCACAGCCACCTCGTGATGGGCAAAAAAACGGCCCTGGCTTCTCTGCAGATCCTGATTTGAGTCAATGTGTCACTGTAAAAAAATGCAAAGGCAACTGAGGCACTGAGGGACAGCTTGGAAAAGGGCACCTCACAGCTGGCTCTCTAACTGCTTTGGGTAGAGGGTTGTTTCTGGCAGTAGCCGCGTTATCATCACTTTTAGGGTTAATAATCACATATGCAGGTAGCCTTTCCTTTATTCTCATCAGAGTGGTGTCCTGCATCACGGAGGGCCTGTAAGTTTTAGCGGTATTTTAATTGATGCGTTCTTTACAAAGAGTAAATATGGGTGACTGCATTTAGGAGATTAAACTAGGATTCGGTCCAAATGACCAAGCGGAGATGAACAGTTAACAAAAAAGATCAAGAACCTTTGATTATATAGTCTTGGGGAAGCAGAAGCCTATGCGACTTTCACACCGTAAGTTTACCAGAATTGTTTTACAAAGCACTATTTCTCCATTGCGAATAAAGATCTCTTTTAATTTAAAGAATGCCTTAGAATTCTGGGATAAAATATCCAAGCTCACTTAATGTATATTATAGCAGCGGAGTGATCTTTGGGGAAATTGTTCTTATAGGCTACTAGACTGTAAACCTCTTGAGGACAAGGTTGGGGTTTTAGTAGTTCTTACAGCACCAAACAGCATTTGATTCACAGCATGTAATGAGGAGATGATAAAAGTTTATTAAACTAACTCAATGGCTTGACTGTGGCTGGATCATGACTTCTTGAAAAATGCATATTTTGCAAGGAAAGACTACTCCATGAATCCCCAAATCTAAAAATCCTTAATAAAGGTAGAATCAAGGTGTCATATAAATATTAATTAAAGATTAAGAGAAATAGAAATAGACTATGAGAAATCGTAAAGGTGACTATCAAGTTGGTCTTGGCTAGTAGGAATTAGGTTTCTGCTGCTCATTGTTGAAGTGAGAAGTGAAATTTGTTGATATAGTGAAAAGCTTGGCAAACTTTTTGAGTAAAGGGCAAGATGGTAAATATGTAGGCCATGCTGGCCATGTGGTCTGTTCAGTAACTACTCAATGCCCCCATTGTAGCTTAAAGCAGCCATAGGCAATGCATAAAGGAATGGTGTGGCTGGATTTCACTTTATTTGTGAAATGTGAAGCTCATATAACTTTAACCAATAACAACATCTTTTTTTCTTTTTTCCCCCCAAGCATTTAAAAATATAAAAATCATTCTTAGGTTGAGAGAAGACAGGAGACAGAAAAACAGGAAGGTGGTGTGTGTGTGAGTGGAGGAGGTATCCTGTTGGTAGTAGTAGTTTGATAATCCCGCCTACATGTGACAGAGTTTGGAGATGAACTCTTTGAAAAAATTAGTGGGCCAGATTTTCCTAATGCCTAAGACATACCTGGGAGTTAAGTTAAATGCCTTCAAGCGTAGCATTAGCTTATTTGGGGCATTATAGTGTTTTATTTGGTCTTGAATATTACCTAACAGATGTCTTTATGAATGAGGGTTTTTAAAAATTCATTAATTATGTAATGTTTTATACATAACAATAATATTCTAAGTTTATGTAAGCTATAAGCATTATATTCAAATGACCACTTGTGACCCCATCATACAGTTTTGAAAACTAAGACTTAAGAACTAGATAATTGTGAAGAGATAACCTGTACAATGGGTAAAAATATTTAAAAAGCATATATCTGACAAGGGCCTTGTATTTAATATATATAAAGAGCTCTTACAACTCAATTTGAAAATGATAAATAACCCAATATAAAAATGGTCAAAGGATCTGAATGGACGTTTCTCAAAAGAAATGGCCAAAAAGCACATGGGAAGATGCTCAACATCACTATTCATCAGAGAAATTCAGATCAAAACCACAGTGAGATACCACTTCACATCCACTAGGATGACTAGATTCAAAATGTCAGATAAGTGTTGGTGAGGAAGCAGAGGAATTGAAACCTTTATATACTGCTGGTGGGAATATCAAATGATGCAACTGTTTTGGAAAACTGATAGTTCCTCAAAAGTTAAAGGTAGAGTTGCCATATAATAAAGCAGTTTCACTCCAAGTATGTATCCAAGGAAAATAAAAGCATATGCCCACACAGATATCTATATACAAATGTTTATACCAACACCATTCATAATAGCCAAAAGGTAGAAACACCCAAATGTTTATCAACCCATGAATAGATAAATAAAATGTAGTATACCCATACAATGGAATATTATTTGGCCATAAAAAGGAATGAAGTGCTGATACATGTTACATGTATGGACCTTGAAAACACTATTGGAAGTGAAAAAAGCTAGTTACACACACACACACACACACACACACACACACACACATTGTATGATTCTGTTCATATGAAAATGCCCAGCACAGGGAAATCTATAGAAACAGAAAGTTGATTAGTGGTTGCTTAGGGCTAGGTGTTAGGGAAGCGGGCAGGGAATGGGGGTGATAAAGGGCACAGGGTTTCATTTTGAGCTGATGAAAATGTTCTAAATTTGATTGTGGTGATGGTTGCACATATCATTGAATTAAACACTTCAAATGGGTGAATTGTAGCATATGTGAGTTATAGCTCAAGCTATTAAAGAAAATAAACAGAAAGCTAGTAAAAAGAACTACGTATATTGTTACCTATACTGTTGCATCTTGCTTTGTGCTCTTCTGTGCCATTTTCCATGTCCCTCCCAACCCTGAATTTTCTGTTAATCATTCCCTGGTTTTATTGTAAAACAGTTTTATGACATATGTATATAGTTCAAAATAAAATGTCGTTAGTTTGGCTTATTTTTTATTTATAAAAAGAGTATATGCAATATTCTCACGTTCAAAAAACTCAACATTAATTTTTTGAGAATTATCCATATTGCTACATGTAACTATATGGTATTTGTTGGCAAATATTTCACAATGTATCTGTTCTCTTACTGATTAACATTTGAATTGGTTCCCATGTTTTGCTCAAAGAGTGCTGATTTGAAAACCTTTTACATGTGTCTTGGCACACATGTGCGAGAGTTCTTCCATGTGAATGTGAATGTGCCATGTATTTTAATGACACCCCACCCCCCGCAAAGTTGATGCTTTTTCTGACTTTTACATTAATGGTATATACTCAGCTTATTTGTTCCCCCAAACCAAGATAAAATGACTAGAGCTGAGAGCCTGACTTCTCATCCTATTTAAATTCTAATTCTAATATTTATTTGCTCATGTCCTAAGAAGTGTGGAAAAACACTAATCTAAAACTTTATCACTGAATTTCACAGCAGACCCACTTAACCCAATCACTTATGAGCATCTTTATCCCCTTATATCAGCTGGGTTTAGGATGGGATGGAGGACAACTTTAACTACTAAGTCAAAGGGACATTACTTTAAACAAGGTATGTAAGTGCTTACTAAACTTCACTAACATTTTCCTTGTATGGTATCCTGCTGGGTAGTCCAATGTTTCTAACATGATTAATTTTGTTATTCTGGTAATAAGCCAGTTGGAAATCTGGCATTTTAACTTTGGGTACTTTCTAGGTCTGCCCTGATTTAGGCTGTGAACTTTTTTCAGTTCATGCAGGATATTTCCACTTTACTCAGGAAGTGAGGAAACACCCTAAGGTCAGAGGAGGCCATTATAAGGGATTTTTTTAAAGTTTTTTTTTTCTACTGTGGTAAAGTGGGCATAACATAAAATTTACCATTTTAACCATTTTAAATTGTACAATTCCATGCATTAAGTACATTGACAAAGTCATGCAATAATCAGCACCATCTATCTCTAGCACTTTTTCATCACCCTAAAATGAAACTCTGTACCCATTAAACAATAACCCCCCCATTCTCCCCTCCTCCCAGCCCATGGTAACCACTATTCTACTTTCTGTCTCTATGAATTTGCCTATTCTAGGTACTTCATATAAGTAGAGTCATTACAATATTTGTCCTTTTGTTACGTGATCTTTTATATGCAGAGGAATTCCATCTTCTTTTGTTTTTCTGTTTAGTAGACACTCTTTCCACTAAAGGAAAACATGGCTTCTTTTACTGAGAAAATATGCAATAAGATTGTTTGCCTTTCAATATACAGCCCTTAGAAAGGGGCAGACATAGGAAATTGTCTAAAACCAGAAGAACTTTCAGTTATTATGGATCGGGCCTTTATCTGCCCTGTTTATTTGATTAGACATATGATAATCCTGTTTTCTTTTTTCCTTTTTTTTTTTTTTTTAGCTGAGCCATCCTGCTACCTATTGGCAGTTCAGCGGCTGCTCAGCTCGGGCTGGACTTGAACCACTGTTGCTCAGAGCTCAAACTCTTGAGCGAGCTCTTAACCAACTGAGCCACTCGGCCAGCCCCGATAATCCTGTTTTCTCATTAACCACTTAGTCAAGTGGAGAAGGTACAGTTAGTCCCTAATTCTTAAAGTTTCATACCTATCTGATGAATGGGTAAATTAGGTAACCTTTGATGTTCCTGTTAGCCCCCAGCTTCTCATAACTTAA